AATTATCAGTGGGGTCCACTTCTGATTTGGGTCGGGTCAAAGTGGATTCAGATTCTTCGTAGTGAGACGAAGAGATTGATATATTGTACGCTCAAAACGGATAATGGGTGAATGAGATATTGATTCTCAAAGTAGACCCATTTGAGTTGGAAAATGAAGGGAAAAAGTGAGCTTTTGTCCCACATTGGTTTGGAAAGAGCTCTTTTGAAGATTGTAGAATTGTATAACATAGAGGCTCTCTTGCGCCGGGGGGGGGGGGGTGTGCAAATCAAATTCCAACTAGACCAGATTGAAAAAGGCTTGATTCAAACTCGTGTGCGCGGGCACGAATGTCGTCCGGAAATTGGCTGGCCTTGCGGGCTAAGTTATGCCAAACTTCGGTATATTTTTCCAACCGGTATAGTCACTTGGTTCGGCCGAAACCGAGAGTACCACTCTCGTGCTACAGAGAGCACGAGAGGTTGTGGTGCACCGAGAGCACAACTTTCGTGCAACGGTGACCACGAGAGCTGTAAAGGCCAAAACTGGGTAAGGTCGAAAGTTGAGACCGAACCCTGCACGCCAACGGTCTGGAACCCGAAAGTTCTGACTGTTATGGGGATTGAATTTATCTTTTATGGAACCCGAAAGTTCTGACTGTTATGGGGATTGAATTCATCTGTTACGGAATTAAACGACGTCGTTTTGGCGATTAACCCAAAAAAAAAAAAACGCGATTAAAATCGCGAATTGGGATTCTACTTCAGATTTCAGACCAGAAACGGCAGAAAGGCAGAGAAGCGTAGAAACCCTCACTTCAGACGTCGTACGTTCGCCGCACACCGCTCCCGCCTCCGCCTCCCGCCGTACGCCGCCACACAGCCTCCCACTCCAGGTAAGCCTAAAGCCCTATTTTAGTGTTTTACACTTACTGTTTTAGACCTTTAGGCTTTAGTTGAATAGTTTATTAATTTTTAATCTTTATAATTTATAATTTTATATAGTTATATAGTTATATATTTATATAATTAATAATTTTCAATTGATATATTGCTATTCAATTGCTAATTTGCTAGTCAATTGCTATATGCCTATATTGCTATTCAATTGCTATATGCCTATATTGTTATTCAATTTAACTATAATTTTAAAAGTCAATGACATTGTGATCTAATGGTAGGAAGTGATTTTTTCAAGTACAAGGTCATGAGTTTGATCCCAATAGGGGAGTTATTGATAATAGTACTAAAAAAACTTGTTGGCTATTTTGTTGAAATTTTAAATTAGCTTTAAATATTATTAATAACTATGTTTATATTTTTCATAGGAAAATTTGTAATTTATACCCTCCATAATATGTCAATTATTAATGTCACCCCTGAATTATTAGTGATGTAAATGTTGTCCCTCAATTTTCAAAATGGTACATTTAGTGCCCTCTCATAGTGTAAACGTTGTCCCTAATTTTTCAAAATGGTACATATATTGTCCCTCCCGTACGATACGAGAGGGGCAATATAAGTACCGTTTTGAAAATTGAGGGGCAATTACACCACAAATAATTCAGGGGTGATATTGATAATTAGCATATTATGGAGAGGCATAAATTACAATTTTTTCTTTCTCATATATGAACTATATGTAGTATTGACAGATTCATAAATACTACATTGTAAGAGAGTCAGTAGTACTCAAAAAACTTAGTGGCTATTTTATTGAAATTTTAAATTAGCTTTAAATATTCTTAGGCTTTGTTTGACAAACCTAGCTGAAAAGCTATAAGCTAGGAGCTGAAAGCTGAAAAGGAACTGAAAGTTGAAAAGCTATAATTTCGGAGCTGAAAACTGAATAACTGTTAAGCTAGCTGTTATGATTGAAAGTGTTTGGTAAAATTAGCTTTTTGATAAGCTGATAAATGTAAAAAGACTAAAAAGGGCATCTTCATAAAATTTAAATTAGTTTGTTTACATACATATTAAAATTTAACATTTTGTCTTTAAACAAAATTAACATTTTGAAATAAAACTATTAGCATAATCATGATCTAGCATCTCATAATGAAGTAGCAATATTGTTGCAAATCTCATCTCATAATAATAATAATAATAATAATAATAATAATAATAATAATAATAATAATAATAATAATAATATTCGCCGTGAAAGTTGCGGATAAAGGAGAAGAGAAAAGGGTTTTAATTGGGAAGGATAAATTATGTTATTTCTTTAAAATAATAAGGATAAAGATGAAAAAAAAAAAAGTTAGGAAGCTAGGAGCTTAATTTGAAATGATACCTTATTTTAAGCTCTTATTTTAAGCTAGGAGCTTATTTTGGAAACATTACCAAACAGAGCTTATAGCTTATTAGTAGCTTTATAGAGGGGTGATCATATGTGGCCATGTTGTTAGGTGTGGTCATATGGTCAATTACAGGCCATTAGATTAGATAAATCAAATGAATCACATTAATCAAGATTCTTCTAGTATTTTCGCGCACATTCTCCTACTCAGCAAACTGCAAGGGTAAACTCGTCATAAGGCACCGAAATAGGGAAAATGACATTGTTTTGTGTTTTATTTGTGTAATTGGTGTATTATTAGCCTTACTCTAGTGTATTTGTAGATTTCCATTTGTGCCAAGTTCAGGTGCGGCAACGCCTTCCCGTGTGTTCAGTGCGACCGCAACAATTGTTATACAAATATACACAATTCATGTTATCAAATGCACAACAAAAAACATACACAAATTAGGCACGCATCACAAAAAACGCGCCATTAGATATGAATAAATACACCATGCAGTGTTCGGGAATACACTATTGGTGTGTTTCACTGTGGTGTGTTTTATTACACTATTGGTGTATTCTGGAACCCGGTCGCTATAAATGGCGGCCGCTGTAATTACCATAACACCCCCACGCGCGAAAATCTTCAAATCCTCAGAATTAGCCACTGCCGTTAGATTAAACTGATTCAACGACATAGATACGACCACACCGCCACACCTAATGACATGACCACATATGAGCGCTCTTCTATATATATATATATATATATATATATATATATATATATATATATATATATATATATATATATATATTGAAAGGAACCAATTATATACTCCGTATTTGATAGTGTAAGTTATTGAATTAAGGTTGACTATGATTAAAAATGGACTTTTGTTGAAATTGACTCATTGAGAAAATAATAAAAAAATTAAAAAATTAAAATATCTTTGTCTAAAATATGTTTTACTCGAAAGATCAAAATATTTAAAATAAGAAAAATTATAATTTATGCCACTCCAGAATATGCTAATTATCAATATCACTCATGAATTATTAGTGGTGCAAATGTTGCCCCTCAATTTTTAAAATGGTACATATATTGTCCCTTCGGTACAGTACGGGATGGGCAATATATGCACCGTTTTGAAAATTGAGGGGCAACATTTACACCACTAAAAATTCATGGGTAACATTGATAATTGACATATTATGAAGGGGCATAAATTACAATTTTCTCTTTAAAATATGATAGTTTTGACAAAAACAATAGTCTATATTTAAATTTAAAATTATCACCCAATACAAAGGTCTCTCTATCTCCCGTCTCCACTCCCAGAGTCTTTTTCGTGTGGCACCTGCTACTCTGCTCCACGGCTAATCTTCAAGAGGAATATAATTGCATTTCGTTTCGCTTCGACTTTCCTAACCCGCAAAGGCCCAAACCAAACATCAGAGGTGAGGATTTCTGGGCAAATTATGATGTGCATCCGTGTGCACCATGCATGGTGCACACGTGCAAAAACGACGTCGTTTTGATTAAAAATGCGCGTCCAACTTAAAAAAAAAAAAAATTATTCAGTTTTGATTCCCGTCAACAACATTATGTTGTGCATAATTTCTGAATGTATAATTATGAAATTATGGATGTATAGTTATGCAATTATGGATTTATAGTTATGAAATTATGGATGTGTAGTTATGCAATTCTGAATGTATAGTTATGAAGTTATGCAATTCTAGATTTATAGTTATGAAGTTATGGATGTGTAGTTATGCAATTCTGGATGTCTAGTAATGAAGTTATGGATGTCTAGTTATGCAATTCTGAATGTATAGTTATGCAATTCTGGATGTATAGTTATGAAATTATGGATGTATAGTTATGCAATTCTGAATTTTTTTTTAAGTCGACGTCAAAGTGACGTCGTTTTTGCATCCGTATGCACCAAACACAACATAACGACTCAGGTTTCTGTCACTTTTCCCTCAATCTCTGTATTCTTCCCAACTCTTCCCAATTTCCTTTTATTTACAAAATACAAAATAATTAAAGTTGCTACTGTAATTCCAATGAACTTCCGAAAGACGAAGCAGTAATATAATATCTCTATTATTTAGAAAAAGTATTCCATCTGCCTCATTTTATATGTCCTACTTATTATTCATGGTCAAACTAACTATTTCTTCTTTGTTTATTTTCTTTAGTATTTTAAATTTATTTTTAAATTTGATTTTTTGTATTTAACAGTACTTTTAGTGTAGTTTCTAAATATATAAATTTTGTATACTAATGCTAAATTTACCTAGTCAAGTCTCGTTAAGGGAATCAAACATATAAGATGAGACGAGTTACTATAATTCTTCTCCACAGGTCTACGTACCTATGCGTACTTCAAAATTCAAACACTGGATTACATAGTTACGTTTGGTGGCTATTTTATTGGAATTTTAAATTAGCTTTAAATATATATATATATTTTTTTGAAACCAAGCTTTAAATATTCTTAAAAAAATATGTTTATTTTTATCTTTTCCAGACATACTTTTTGTATTTGCAATTTTTCACTATCAGTCTATCACCGAATGTCTCTCCATCTCCGGTCTCCACTCCCAGAGTCTTCTCCGTGGCGTCTGCTACTCTGCTCCACCGCTAATCTTCAAGAGGAATATAATACCATTCCGTTTCCCTTCGCAAAGGCCCAAACCAAACATCAAAGGTTAGGGTTTCTAATCTGTCACATTTCCCCCAATCTCTGTTTTCTTCCCAACTCTTAGCTTCCTAATTTCCTTTTATTTACCAAATCTTGCAGTTGAAGAATAGAATAGAACGATTTTAGCTTCTGATTTCGACTGAAGCCGCCTCATTATTCTTTCAATTTAATGGCTCGACGACTCAAAACCCTACTGGAGGATGCAAGTAGGGATTTAATAAGTGAGCTGCCGATAGAGGTAAAGGCCAGAATTTTGGAGTGTTTGCCCACCCGAGACGCCGCCAGAACTGCTCTGCTCTCAAGGCACTGGAATCATGTTTGGTTGCAGCATGGGCGGCTTGCGTTCGATTCCGAAGTGTCCAACAGCGCCAAGATGATGGAGAAGGTAGAACCTGCGTGGACATAATCAATAATATCCTCTTTCTCCGTGCTGGGCCCGTTAAGAAAGTTACTCTACAGATTTCATCTGCTTATCGTATGCCGCAGCAATCTGATTTTGATATGTGGTGTCGTTATCTGTCAAGAAATGGTGTGGAGGAACTTAACATATCTTTATATAAGTATCCAGAGCCAAAATATCAGCTGCCATTTTGTTTACTCTGTTGCAGGATAATTAAGCAACTGATGGTCCAACAACTCTTTATTGATTTGCCTGTAAATGCTTGTGATATATTTTCCAATGTCACTTCATTAGCTTTCTTCAATGTTACATTTAAGCGCAGTGTTAATGGAATTGCCTCTACTATTAGTATTCCTAAGCTTGAGAAGCTGGCTTTCGAGGATTGTGGAGGGATCAATAAGTTTGAGATCAGCCCTCCAAAGCTTGAAATCTTGTCTGTTATTGGTTCTATGTATTATTTGGTTGATTCGAGATGGTTGGCACCGCATTTGAAAGCCATTAAGACTCTTTGGTTGTGTGGCTTATCGTTGGCGGTGAGAATCTAACTCATTTTTCTTGCAAATGGTTGGATAGATGTAATTCTTTACCTTTTGGCTTGTTAAAGTTCTTGTGGTGGCTAATTTTGTTTCTTAATTCCTATTTTTCAAGTTTATGCGTGTATCTATGTTTCCAACTGCAATAAATCTGCGAGTGCTGAAGCTATATGGATTACATTTTGATTATTGGGATCATCTCCTCGTTTTTATGCAATTGCTTCAAAAATGCCCCAACCTATGTGAACTGCAGATATTGGCAGTTGAGGTAGAGTATATATTTGGCAATCATGTATATGATTCTTCTTGTTTTGCTTTTTCAAATGTCCTCACAGTTGTGCTTGCTTTTCATTTCTTCTGAGTTATAGTTTCGTGGGGAGGATGACAACAAACTGAACGATGCTGCTTCAAGGCATGAGTTATTTATTCAAGAGCTGCAGATGCTTAACACAATTAAGATTGAAGCATTCAGTGATAAATCTGCACTCGAAATGCTTTTTATGAAAACGCTGCTCTCAAAATCACGTGTGCTAGAGAGAGTTGTTATTTTGAAGTCTTGGCATCATATGATTTACTCCGGGGTGAGAAAACTCCAAAGGAAGTTGGAATGCTTCCCTCGTGCATCTCCAAACGCACAGATTGTCTGCGACGGCAATTACTATGCGGGTATGTATGAGGACTGGATGGATACCCATGGTGTTAGGTTGCAGGTTTTAGAATAGTATGGTTCTATTTGGTTGCAGCTTAGAAATGTAAGCAAAGGTTGTGTTGGAAGTTGAAATGTTTGATAATTTGTAATCAGCAAGCGTTGTGGGCATTTAAGAATGTTCCTATATATATATTTGCTTTTGTTAACAAATGCATGTCCTGAAGGGCTTGAATTTCAGCCTACATTGCATCTTTCCAATTTTAAAATTTGACTGCCAAATTATATGTCTTAGGATGGTTCAGAATTAGAGGAGATGGCTGTGATGTGGCCGCAAAGAGTGTGAAGAAGACCACTCTGTTGCTGAATGTTGAGCTGTAAGTGAAGGTGCAGATAATGGAACACTGGCAGAGAGGGATTAAACAAAACAAATCATGCATGTGCCTTGCAATAAATCTACAAGTAATCAAGGTTACGTTGGTATAATGTTTAGACTACTTTACCTACTTGTAAGCAAAGTTTATAACTTATTTTGAATTAGTTGACCAGTTGAGTTGTGCTCTCGGTTGGGACGACATGATAGGGACGACATGATAGCTTATTTATAATTCAAAGGAAAATTGTCAAAATAACCTTGGACTGAGTACGAGAGTGAATAGTAAAGCTTTTATTTTTTATTTTCTTTCTAAAGGTTCCATTAAGGCTTTCTAAATTGATGAAAAATGCAATTGAATCGGAATATTAAACGACCTATCAAGTGTTACTATTGATGTGGTTAACAAATGACCTCTGGCTCTGTGGGATCGGAGCAACCTTTCAAAGTGAGGAGGCTCTTTGTGCACAATAAGCAAAGGTCTAACCTCTATATTAAGTTGAGTTACCATAATTTACATCCTCGTAGATGTTTTATCGAGTCGTTAACGTGTGGGATCCTTGGGATTGGAGATTCAACATTTTTGAACGAACAACAACAAATGACCTCTGGATGCTTATGTGGATTTGACGTGTACAAATACATTGAGCAGTCCCGGCCCCACCAAAAAAAAAACATTGAGCAGTCATTTTCACAATTGCCACAATGCAGGCTATTGGCAGTTTGTAATTGCCACACATTATAAAAATTTAATATTGATATATTTGTCGCCAACATAACTTTAAAAAAATAATATTTATCAACTAGTTACCACACGGGCATTGCACAAATAGTCTGATGTTCAATGTGTATTATTAAATTAGTGTTTTAAAATTTATTAAGGTATCATCGGTATCCTGATTTATATCAAATGCAAAATTATCAAATTTTTCAGAAAAGTAAATATTTCAAGAATGCATAACTATGACATGAGGCAGAAATGTTGGATTGGATAGTACGTACCCTAAACATAATTTACACGGACGCAATACAAGATATTTAGGAACAGTAAATGATATAATAGAGGATAAAATAGAAAAAATAATAATAAAAATACTAAAATCAAAATAATATGATCTATTCATTTCAATAAACAATTACACCAACATATTTTAGGATCAAAATAATATGAACCGTTAATTTTAACAAACAATTAAACCAACATTTTTAGTTCTTGTTACGGCCTAACTTTATTAGCTTTTATTAGATTTGTTGGTGTAGGATAAAACATTATTAATTATCCACACATTCATCACAATGCTATATATAGGCCATTGGAAATTTCAAATTAGAGAGAAATAGGCATACATGGATGTAGTTCAATGCTATATGGTGTTGGGGAAAATTCGGATAGAATATGTCGTAGACCTGGGGCTACTGTTTTTTATAGGCTGAGAATGGATGAATCCTGAAGGGATCGGTGACGTGTGCAAGACACTACCTTAAAAGCAAAAATTTCCCGGAGACGGTTGTAGTCTTACCGGTTGCTTTCGACCAGTTAACACCGAAGCTCAGGATTGCAGAAGAGAAGAAGAGAATTTGATGAGTGAATAGAACTGAGGAGAAGCAGGGTATTTATAGTATTGAAAATACTCGCCCCTCCCCTCTCAGCCATTCATGCTCCACGACTTTAGGAAGAGTTGTGGTGAAAATGCCCACAAGAATAGAAAGACTTGTTCCACCACAACTTAATGTGTGGATGGTAGATTTCTACATGAAATCTACCTCTAAAAAGGAAAAAACTCGGAATTAAAATAAAGCCCGAGTAAACCGCGACGCGCGTGCGAACCGAACCGAACCGTGCCGGGCGGGCGGCGGCGGCGGCGCGCGTGTGGGGTTCCCTTTCCTTCTCTCTCTACAATAGTTTAAGCCTTCAAAATGAGTTGGTATTAAAAAGGTGGGAATTAGTCCCTTATCCTTCCAATGTGGGACAAGAGTGTCTTCCTTCTACACACTTTAAACCACCATCTTGAATGTAATCTCCAACAATCCCCCACACATTCAAGGTGGCAAGAAGAAGACGGAATTTCTGGCATGAGTGTTGATCTTAATGTCAGTGGTTGTACCTTGAACTGACACGTAGTGACTTGAGTAACTTTCTCCTTTGATAGTGAATTAGATCTTGAACTATCGAAAGAAGAGTTAGTTTTGAACTCAGTTCACACACCAGCAATCACCCTGTAAGTATATATAACTTGGTCTTTCTCGTAAGGTCAACTCTTTGACCTGAGACCTATCTCTGAATAGGTGTGTTTAGCTTCCAGGTTTATATAACCTCGAAGTTTGCTCACTGTATCGCTATTAAGCCCATCTCCCTCGATGTTTCGAGGATGGCTCTTTTGTTTAGCCCCTTCGTGAGAGGATCTGCAATGTTCTTTTTGGATTTCACATATTCTAGTGAAAGTACGCACTTAGAATTAGTTGTCTCACAGACTCATGTCTGACTCTTATGTGTCTCCTCTTACCATTATAGGCACTATTTTTGGCTACGCATATCGCAGCTTGCGAGTCACAATGTATGGGCACTGACGGCGTAGAAGACCCCCACAATGGCACGTCTGCCAGTAGGTTTCTAAGCCACTCAGCCTCTTGCCCTGCTAGATCAAGAGCTATAAATTCAGCTTCCATCGTTGATCTGGCTATGCACGCCTGTTTCGTGGATTTCCACGATACTGCTGCTCCTCCCATGGTAAAAACATACCCGCTGGTGGAGCTCACCTCATCACTATCATTCACCCAATTCGCATCGCAATACCCCTCTAGGGACGCTGGGAAGCCAGAAAAGTGCAATCCCCAGTTCATCGTTCCCTTTAGATAGCGTAACACCCTCTTTAGTGCATTCCAATGGGTATCGCTGGGATTATGAGTGTATCGACTTAGTCGATTTACCGCAAGTGCAATATCAGGTCTGGTATAGTTCATTAAGAACATCAGACTCCCGATTATTTTCGCATATTCCTCTTGAGACACACTTGCCTCTGTGTTCTTCGAGAGTTTTGCACTTGGGTCATATGGAGTTTGCGCAGGGTTCACTTCAAAACTGTTAAACTTCTTTAGCAGTTTCTCTGTGTAGTGACCCTGTGATAACTTGTAGCCATCTTTCTCTTTGATGACTTTCACTCCAAGTATCACATCGGCTTCGCCCATATCTTTCATATCAAACTTCTCACACAGAGACCTCTTTGTCTCTTTTATTGCATTTATATTTGAGCTAAATATTAGCATATCATCTACATAAATGCAAATCAAGACAATGCTAGACTCAATCTCTTTTGAGTACAAACAAGCATCTGATCGGTTTACCGTGTATCCCATATCTAACAGTGTTTTGTGGAACTTCTCGTACCACTATTTGGGAGCTTGCTTTAACCCATATAGGGATTTTACTAGTCTACATACCTTCCCTTCTTGCCCGGGGTTGGCGCATCCAGGAGGTTGAGACATGTAAATTTCTTCTTCCAGGTCTCCATTTAGGAAAGCTGTTTTTACATCCATTTGATGGACCAGCCACTTGTGAGAAGATGCTAGAGCAAACAATATGCGTATTGTGGCTATTTTCGTTACAGGGGAATAGGTGCAGAAGTAGTCTTCACCAAACTTCTGTTTATATCCCTTAGCCACAAGTCTTGCTTTGTACCTTTCAATCGACCCATCGGGTCTCATCTTCCTTTTGAAGATCCACTTACAGCCAATAGGTTTGGCTCCCTTCGGTAGGTCACCTCCCAAGTGTGATTAGATTTGATTGAATCTAGCTCACTTTGTATTGCTTCTTTCCAGAAGACCGCATCGACTGAGCGCATAGCTGCCTCAAAGGATTTTGGTTCCTCCTCTAGAATTAACTGACACACAAACTGATCAGAAATTTCATTAATGTCATTTACTTCAGAAATGTACGTAATGAAATCAGGCCCAAAACTTGTCTCGGTCCTTTTTCTCTTACTCCTTCTAGGTTCTTCTGACTCAAGTTCTGTTTCAGAAGTTGAAGGTAGTGAGGACGAGACTTTTTCATAGGTATTTGATCCACGTTTTAGTGGGAATATGTGTTCGAAGAACTCGGCCTCTCGTGCCTCGCACATAGAGTGGCCGTCTAGGTACATAAATCTATATGCAGCGCTATTTTCTGCATACCCCACAAATATTGCATTTGAGGTTTTGGGGCCAAGATTAGGTTTCTTGAAGTAAGGAAGACCTACCTTGGCCAGGCACCCCCACACTTTGAAGTATTTTAGATTGGGTGCGTAACCTTTCCATAGCTCATATGGAGTTTTTTCATAACCTTTGTGAGGTATCCTGTTGAGGGCGTGGTTAGCTGTAAATGCAGCTTCCCCCCCCCCCCCCCCCCCCCCACAAAGAGTTAGAAGCGCCTGCGCTTATTAGAAAAGCATTTATCATTTCCTTTAGGGTTCTATTTTTCCTTTCAGCCACACCATTTTGTTGTGGTGTATAGGGTGCTGTCACCTCATGGATGATTCCATGTTTTTCACAAAAGGTTTTGAGGGAGGTAGACTCATACTCTCCACCTCTGTCAGACCTAAGTCTTTTTATCTTTTTCTCTAACTGATTTTCTACTTCAGTTTTAAAGCTTATAAATTTTTGTTCTGCCTCATCTTTAGTTCTAAGCAGATATATCTTTGAAAACCGAGTGAAATCATCTATAAATGATATATAATATCGCTTTCCTCCTTTTGTCTCAGTATTTTAAAAATCAGCTATGTCTGAGTGTATTAACTCTAGAGCACAAATTGTATGATGCTTTGCAGTAATGAAAGGTTTTCTAGCTAGTTTAGCTTCAGCACATACTTCACATTGAGAAAGCGAATCATCTTGCACGTTTGAGAGCATATTCATGGTTTTTAATCTACTCATGCATTTGAGACCAACATGTCCTAATCTAGCATGCCATACATCAAAAGAAACAGCAATATACGCAGAACCGCCATTACGTGTGGCAAGATTATTCATGAAAGTTTCAAAGTTTGCAGAAGTGAATGCAATGAGGGGCAAAACAAACAGCCCCCCACGTAAATAAGCCTTCCCTAGGTACTCCCCTCTACGGGTCATGATCATTCTCTCGGATTCAAACACAAGTTTGATCCCGGCCCTAACCAACAAGGGCCCTGAGACCAAGTTCCTCCGCATAGTGGGGACATACAACACATTAGACAGAAACAGATACTTTGTGGAATTGAGTTTTATCTCTACTGTTCCTACTCCTCTTACCTCAGCAGTACTGTCGTTTCCCATATAGACTTGATCTCCTTGTCCTTGAGTGAAGGCACGAAACTCCTTGAACATGATCCTACTCGCACAAAAGTGCCGAGTTACTCCAGTGTCTATGATCCATTCTTCCGTGCCAGTCACCACATTTGCTTCCAGCGTCACAACCGCTGCTATGACTTCAGTCTCTTCCACCACGTTTGCTTTATTCTTGTTCTCTTGTTGGACATTCTTTTGGTCGTTTGCGCCCCATCGGCGATGGCACTGCGCCGCGCGATGACCATTCTTCCCACAGACGTAACAAGGTCCTCCTTTCCCTTTCTTCTGGTTGTTTTTGAACTTGTTGTTATTGTTGGCTTTGACTCCTCTTTTCCAGCCTTTATTTTGTCCACCACTCCCAGTTCTGGACCTATCACCTTTAACATCACTGGATTCAACCATGTTAGCTTTTAACGTACCAGAATTAGAAACAGACCTTTGTTGATAGGCGTCTTCTATGTTGATGTGATTGACCATCTCTTCCCAAGAGTAATCCTTGGACTCATGTTTTACTTTGTTTTGAAACTCTCCCCAGGATTCTGGCAACTTCTCAAGTAAGGCATAGGTTTGTAGCACTTCACTTACCGGAACGAGTTCAGCTTCAAGGTCGGACACCAGATTCTCATATTCGTGCACTTGCTCGATCACTGGTTTCGTATCCACCATACGATAGTTGAGCCACCTCCCAACCGTGCACTTCCTCCGACCAGCATCATCAGCGCCATACTTCCTTTTGAGCATGTCCCAGATCTCCTTTGCAGATTTGTATTTAGCATAGATGTCTAACAGGTTGTCAGACATGTGATGCAGCAGAAGACCGCGAACCGTTTTGTTGTCCCGCTCGAACTTAGCCCGGATGTCTTGAGACTTGTCAGTTGTGACAGGTTCAGGTGTTGCAGACGCAGGGGTTGAAGTGGAGCCGTCCTCTGTTTGAGGATTAGTGGAGTCAGCAGCTTTCGCTTGAGCAGGTTCAGGAACATACGTGAAAACGTATTCCAGTTCAGCAGATTCGATGTGTATGAGCATTTTGACTGCCCAACGACGATAGTTTAAGCCGTCAAGAGGTTGAAGCTTGGCAAGGTCAGATGCAGGCTTAGGTACGAAGCTCGACATCATATCCGAAATAATAAAAAGAATAAATTTTTGCTTTTAACTGTTGGGGAAAATTCGGATAGAATATGTCGTAGACCTGGGGCTACTGTTTTTTATAGGCTGAGAATGGATGAATCCTGAAGGGATCGGTGACGTGTGCAAGACACTACCTTAAAAGCAAAAATTTCCCGGAGACGGTTGTAGTCTTACCGGTTGCTTTCGACCAGTTAACACCGAAGCTCAGGATTGCAGAAGAGAAGAAGAGAATTTGATGAGTGAATAGAACTGAGGAGAAGCAGGGTATTTATAGTATTGAAAATACTCGCCCCTCCCCTCTCAGCCATTCATGCTCCACGATTTTAGGAAGAGTTGTGGTGAAAATGCCCACAAGAATAGGAAGACTTGTTCCACCATAACTTAATGTGTGGATGGTAGATTTCTACATGAAATCTACCTCTAAAAAGGAAAAAACTCGGAATTAAAATAAAGCCCGAGTAAACCGCAGCGCGCGTGCGAACCGAACCGAACCATGCCGGGCGGGCGGCGGCAGCGGCACGCGTATGGGGTTCCCTTTCCTTCTCTCTCTACAATAGTTTAAGCTTTCAAAATGGGTTGGTATTAAAAAGGTGGGAATTAGTCCCTTATGCTTCCAATGTGGGACAAGAGTGTCTTCCTTCTACACACTTTAAACCACCATCTTGAATGTAATCTCCAACATATGGAACTCCCCATATGGCCATATCCAAGATCAGATCCCATAAGATGGAATATATGAAATAGGAATTATCCCATATATACGCTGAATTGGAACTAGAAAGCTGCTAATTAAGGTTGTTGTTTTGGATCCGATCCGATGGATATAATAAGTGAGCTTCCAGACGATGTAAAGGACAAGATTTTAGAGTGTTTGCCCACTCGAGATGCTGCCAGAACTACTCTACTCTCGACTCACTGGAAAGATGTTTGGTTGCGCCATGAGCGGCTTGTGTTCGATACCCACTTCTTTGAATGTCTCAGAAAATGTGAGGGTGATAAACCCGTGGGGCTCATCAATGTTATAAACCACATTCTCTTGCACCGTGCTGCTCCGGTTAAGAAATTTAGTTTGTGCATTTCTTGTCCGGAATTGGAAGGTCGTCCTAAGCCACAGCAGTCTGACATAGATTGTTGGTGCCTTAGCTTTATATATCAAGGAATGGAGTTGAGGAGCTTAATATCACTATATTTGGAGAACAATATAAGTTGCCGACTTGTACAATTTTGTGCCCAACAATTAAACAATTGAAACTCGGGGGTTTCAATTTTGATTTTGATTGCTCGATAAATGGTGCTGGTTGTATATTTCCTGGCATCACTTCATTAGTTTTCTATGAGGTTGAGTTTAAGAGTAGAATTAATGGAGGAGTCGTCTCTGATCTTGAGAAGCTTTCTTTCCATTTTTGTGTTGGGATCAATAATTTTAAGATCCGTGCTCCAAAACTGAAAAGCTTGGATTATTTGACTTTTGTTTTTCATGCATTTAAACCCAGATGGTTGTCGCCTCATCATAGACTACTTAGTGCTTATTGCTTATATTTGTTGTGGGTGAGAATCTTTACTTTCTTCCCATCTTAATGCAAGTATGTATGCCTGCACGAGGGCAGCTCAATTGGGCGTTCTTGAGTGGGAGTTTCACAAAATTAATTTGGTGAGCACCAAGCACATGTTCTCCCACCTCGGACCACTATATCCAATCCTATTGGGTCTAGGGAAAACAAATTTTGCCATTTTTTTTTTTTTTTGTCCTTGAGGCTTGATAGAGTTCTTCTCATGGCTAATTTAAGTTTCCTTTACAATTTCTAAGCTTGATGAAGTTGTAGTAATGGCACAGGAGTTCCCAACAACAAATCTGCAAGTAATATGGGTGATAGATTCAGACTTTGGTCCGATCACAATTGATTTGGAATTGCTTGAAAGATCCCCCAACCTATGTGAACTGAAGTTTCAAGCAGAAAACATGCTGGTACGAAATGTAATCTATTGAAATCATGTGATTTTTTTTTCAAAGATTTATATAGTAATGAGTACTCAAATCATGTGTTTTTCCCCCTCAAATTCCCCGCGAAATATCTTCCAATGGGGCATCAAAATATTCCCATAAAGTCTTAGGAATGGGATATTAGAATATCTCTTTTAGAAAATTTACTGTAACCACTTAGCAACATCTTTAACATCTTTTTCAATCCAGTAAATGATTGATTAGCAAAATCTTTTTGTTAGCACTCCTCTCTTTCCCAGGCCACATCTTTGAACTGCTTTAGTTTTAAAACTTTTAAGTATGAATATTTAGTGATAATATAATGGTAAGGGAATTGTTTACAGTATTCAATTCCTAATTTTGAAAAGCTGGTTTTGGATGATTGTGAAGGGATTAGGAATTTAGAGATCAAACCTCCAAAACATCATTAATATGTCCTCCTCACGATGATATTGAAGCTGCTGCAAGACTTATGGGAAATCTTGATGGTTACATCGTTAATCAAGATTGATTCATTTAGTGGATCTAAAAGCGAAATATTTTTTTTGTAAAAATGCTGCTCTCGAAATCTCCTACACTAGAAAAACTTATTATTCAAAAATATGAGAATATGAAAGCTTGCACAACGGATAGATTTAGTTTAAGTCTCCATCTAGTAAGTTGAGAGACAAAATGCTTGGAAATAAAAAAGATATAAAAATGGATTAGTTCCTAAAATATATGTCAAAATAAATAATAGTCATAAAAAAATGAAGAAGTATTGTGGCTTATATACCTCGAAATTAAAATCCAAGCTTTGGGACTCATTCATGCAAAGGGAAGACAAAAAGGGCAAATTGGATGTACGAGGATAGAACTAACAATGTCATAAATCCAAACGAGCAAAAGAAGTGATTGTTTTTTGTTTAGCATACATAGCACAAAAGAAAGAAAGGAAATCTAGCTACTAAGTACATCAACACCCCCTCCGCTGCTATGCACTCCCTACCAGCATTGGTGGCAATCCAGCTAGTAACAAGCTCCTCCATATGGGCAGTGGTGTAGTCCTTCACGTCTTTTTTGAAGGCCTCGGATCGGAGCTCCGGTAATGTGACACCGCAAAGGCAGTGGTGTAAATCAAGCCCCACAATTTACATATTGAATGTTCACAATTTTATATACTAAGTGTTCACAATTTACATACTGAATAATGTTCATATAAATTGTGTATTTTGACTCGGGTCCACCTTGCAAGGTGATAATCGTTATGTTGTGGAACCGTGTCCACCTTACAAGGTGGACACTGCACGGTTCTGTGTTCATAATTACTGAACTTTATGTTCATAATTATAAATCTATATATTCCTAATTATTGAACTTTATATTCACAATTACAGAACTCTATGTTCATAATTACTATACTGAACTATATATTCATAATTATAAAGCTATATACTCATAATTTTTGAACTTCATATTTACAATTATTGAATCTCTATATTCATAATTACATAACTATATGTTCATAATTATGTTCACAACTCTATATTCATATTTATAGAACTATATGTTCATAATTTTTGAACAATATATTCATAATTATGAATAATTTTGGAACCGTGTTCACCTTACAAGGTGGACACAGTTCCACAGCATAATTTGTCGCAAGGTGAACCCCCGGGTCCATGGCATAGGCAAATTATATCATGCACCGCAGTGCATAATCGATTATGCACCGCGCGTCTTTTTTTTTTAAATGAAAATAAACAGTGTTTGTTTCCGCCGTTTCGCACCCTTTTGCAAAAAGTAACTCTGTTATTCAGTGTCATTTTGTATACACTGCAATTTCAGTTCAACACAATTACAGTTTCATTTCGATATAACTATAGTTTCATTCAATATTTATAGACTCAAATATGTGAAAATGTTATTTAATTTTATTTTATATACACTATAGTTTCATTAAAACACAACTACATGATCATTTTGATATAATTACAGCTTCATTGTACAATATACACTCAAATATGTGAAATGTTATTCAGTTTCATTTTATATAGACTGCAGTTTCATTTCACTATAACTACAGTATCATTTTGATATAACTGCAGTGTCGGTTTAGATATACTGTAGTGTCAATTGGTGTTTAATACACCAAACAAGCGGACTCCGTTAACTCTAACGGCGAGCCGTTTCTTTACTTAAAGAAACGGCGCCGTTTTTTACCGCGGTGCATATAACGACTGCATGGCATAACTGTTGGTCAAATGATGCTTGTACCTTGGGCTTGAACTTTTAGCCCACTGTTGCCGCCAAGGGCCCAAATCAAGCTTTGCAGTATTCTTTTCTTCCAATAGCAAAGGCGAGGGTTTCTAATACTTTTTCCTCTAATCTCTTTTTTCTTCCCAAATTCTTTTGTTTCCAAAACCTTGTGGCTGAATTGGAATTCAAATCGAGCGCTTTTAATTTCTGTTTCCAGTTTAATGGCGAGTTGTCGTCGGAGAAAATCCGAAGCGGAGGCCAGGGATGTGATAAGTGAACTGCCTGCAGAAGTAAAGGAAAAGATTTTGGAGTGTTTGCCTACTCGAGAAGCTGCAAGAACTGCTCTGCTCTCAACTCACTGGAACAATGTTTGGTTGCGGCATGGGCGACTTATGTTTGATTGGTACTTCTTCCAATGCTTCTCAAAGTACGAAGGTGAAAAAGGTATAGCTCAGATTAACACAATAACTGATATTCTAATGTTCCGTGCCGGACCGGTTAAAAAATTTACTCTACAGCTTGACCACGCATCGCGTCCTTTTCCCCAGCAGTCTGATTTAGATCGGTTCGTTTTCTTTCGAGAAATGGTTTGCAGGAACTTAAGTTGTATACTTCGTGTAACCATAAGCTTCCATCTTGTATATTCTTGTGCCGGACAATCAAGCAACTGACTTTGGGTGGTTTCATTTTCGATTTGCCGATCCCTAGTATATTTCCTAGCCTCACTTCATTAGTTTTCGAGAATGTTGAATTTAGTGATAATGTTAAGGGAATTGTGTACAGAATTCCTAATATTGAGGAGGTTTCTTTCGGTTCTTGTAAAGGAATCACTAATTTTGAGATCAGTAATCCAAAACTTGAAACCTTGAAGGTTATTGGTTATGAGTCTTGCAAGTTTGATGAATCCAGATGGTTTACCCTTTATTTGAAAACAATTAAGACTCTTTTCTTGAGTGCCAATTTGTTGCCGGTGAGAATCTCTACTTTTGCATCCTCTTGGTTTATGCAAATGGATTGATTATAAGTATTGATAGAGTTCTATGATTTTTTTTTCAAGTGTAAAAGTGCAGAAATAGCCACAGTGACATTCCCAACCGCAATAAATTTGCAAGTGATTGAGCTGTATGATTTAAGTATTGCATGTCAAGAGCGGCTTGCCTTTGTTATGCAGCTTCAACATTCCCCCAACCTATGTGAGCTGAAGATTGGGCTAACAGATGGTGTAAGACACAAAAACTATGGACTATATATGTATTTAGAATCATGATTGTTTCTTTTCCTTGTTAATTTCCTCATGGTTGTATGTGTTATTCACTTATTCATTTCTTGTTGTGTGATAGTTATGTTCATGTGAGGATATAACAATGTCTACAAGACTTTTGGAGGATCCAAACGGTTGCATTGTTAAATGTGATCTGAAGATTCTTAACACAATCATGATCGAATGGTTTAGTGGATCTACACCTGAAAAGCTTTTTGTGAAAATGCTGCTCTTGAAATCCCCGGCACTAGAGAGAGTTTTCATTAAGGAATGTCATGATATTGGTACCTCTGTAGCTGTCAAAAGCCTAAGGGAGTTGTTGCGTTTTTCTCGTGCATCTCCAAAAGCCCAAATTGTTTGTATGGATTGCGACGACCCTGAGGAGTCTGGATTTGATCACAGATGGTTTTAATTTAGTATGATGAAGCTCCATGGGTTCAATTTTGATGCAACCTAGAAATGTAAGCATTGGTTGTGGTGGAAGTTGAAATCTTGTAAGATAAGGATGCTGCACCTTTTTCCTATGTTGTTCGGTAAGTATTATGTTGTAAATTATTTTTTAATCTATAAGCAGTCATTGAGGAGGCTACTGTTTTTCTTCATAACTGGATGTTAGTTTACTTGGTTAATTCTGGGGAACTCCAGTCCATACCCAATACTAGTCAGCTTGAGAAATGGGGTTTGGCTACGTTATAAGGGATTCAAATGGTTGTTTTATTGCTGCTAAGAAAATACCATAGCATGGGCTCTTCAAACCTGGGGAAGCAGGAGCAATTGAAGACAGGGAAGCTTTAAAGTGGTTGAAGGATCTTAATGTAGATGATGTCCAAGTTGAAACTGATTGTCTTTAGGTGTTGAATAGGATCCAAAATCAATCTCTGGTATCTTCGTTTGATCTGATTGTCAATGATGTTAGGGAATTAGTTAGAGCATTTTCTATTCTCTGTTTTTGTTTGTTAAACAATCTGCGATTAGGATTGCCCATTTGTTAGTTAGGGAGGCCTTATAGAGCTGGACTTGTAAGGTATCCAAAAAGAAATTATATGGTATGCGGATTTGATTGATGGATTTTGGATCATGGTCTACAATGTAAGTTTAGAAAATTTTTAATTAATCAAGGCATCATAATGTCATCCAATAATCAACCATTCATGCAAAAAGAATGATTTTACAATTCAAGATTTCATAATTAAAGAAAAGAAAGATCAATCACAACTGTTAATATGATTTGTCCTCCTCTATGATTTAACGGGTGGATGTTTGATATGCAATCTATCAAGGTGCTACTTGTTTGCTTTTCTGGAATCCTGAAGGTTGTCATTGATCAGAGTTGGATATTTTACTCCAATTCATTACCAAGTTTAAAATTAGACGTACAAGAATTTTTTTTTTTTTTTTTTTTTTGTGCCTCTACAAAAGCATAAATTGTTTTCATAAAAAAATAATCTTAATCTTATGCATCTCTTTGTACTGTATGTCTGTATGTTCAATAGTGTGTAATGGTTTGTGAGAAAGCTTACTAGTTTTAAATGTACTATCACAAATGTATCTGGGTTAGTTTAAGCTAAGGTTAATTAATTATTTGTTCTTGGTAACATGTTAAGTTCCTAGATGCCATTTGTTCATAGAAAAAAGACACCACCGACCTAGGCTATAGCAGGCTACTACAATCGATTATTGTACGAATTGAATTTGTAGAATATGATGTATTCATCATGAAATTAATAGTTGTGCGAACTTGATGACTAACGAAAGGTATATTCAGATTGATCTTGGGTTCCCACACGGGCTTAGTTCAAAGTGGGCAAATTCCTTGTGCGCACCGGCATTTGGCCCTGTCTGCTGAACCATTAAGTCATCGTGATTTACATCCTCCCAAATGCTCCGTCGGATCGGAGTGTGAGGAGCTCTTGGGGTTGGGGATTCAACCTTTTGGGAGAAGATTGATCTTGGATTACATGTTGATGCCTTGCCAAATGGTTTTGGTGCCCTGTTAAATGGTTGTGTTGGAGTGGTTTTGCTTTGGTTTTTCTAGTTTAGCTTATTTGCGTTTATCATAGCCAAATAATAATAGTAATAGTAATAAATTTGATATGAAAGTAAATTATTCAATTTTCTAACCTCTCCTTCTACCTACTCAATGCAAACAATGTTATGAGAATAATATATCTTTCAGAAAGTTTTCAAACTGTTGGGTGGTGGCTCGGAGAGTCGAGTCTAGCATCTTGCCATCGAAACGTGACGTTGATTGCTGTATAAGTATAAGAAAATAAAATTATATTTTCACTACTAGCTATAGTTTTTCACATAGTGTTAAATGTTTGATATTAACAATTGGTATCATAGCTGGTCACGAGTTTGAGCACTTGATCGTCTTTACACAAACCTTTACGCATAATAATTAAAAGAGAAAATTTCAATTTTGGTCCACTGACTATTGGGATTGTGTTAATTGCAACACTTGACTATCAAAAATGTTAATTTAGTACCTTGACTATGCAATTTCTATCAATTTTGGTCACGGTGGCCAAATTACCGGCGAATTGTGACCGAAAAAACTTAAGTCAACATTTGTACTGAATTGGAAGGGGTAAAATAGTCTTTTCTTGTTCTTTCTTGTTCCTTCTTGAATTCCGGTCACAATTAGAAGACTTCACTTGCATTTTCACCCAGTTCGACCTCTACTCCTCCCAGTCCACCCATCTTCACATATCAATCTCCAATTTCAGTGAGTATATATTATAAAATAGTCTTTTGTTGTGCCCAGCTCCACCTTCACATCCTCCGCACCTTCCCAACGCAATGAAATCAGATTAGCTTAAACACAATTTGTAAAACTAAAATAATAATCGTCATTTTAGGGCATAGACAATTTAGTTTCTGAAGAAAACAAAAATATATTTCAAATACATACAAATTTTCGGAACACATAAACACAGGGAAGGATGAAAACTTGAAAAGCAGATACGAAAAAGAGCATAACCGTGAATATTCCCTTCTCAAAGGCACAAAAATAGCAATAGCAACCATAGAATCTAACAACGAAGAAGATAATAAAACAGAGGAGACATTATTATCATCACAGCCTCGAATAGTTTTGACGATTTTGGAAATACATCCCTCGCAATGCAAATCCGCCTTGAGAACGACCGAATCGCCTCCGCCGCCGCCGCCGTCGGCCTTCTTCTGCTTGCCGTCGGCCTTCTTCTTCCAATTCGTTTTCCCAAATCAGAAGGAATAGGAAAAGACTATTTTACCCCTTCCAATTCAATACAAATGTTGACTTAAGTTTTTCCGGTCACAATTCGCCGGTAATTTGGCCGGCGTGACCAAAATTGATAAAAATTACACAGTCAAGGTACTAAATTAACATTTTCAATAGTCAAGTGTTGTAATTAACACAACTCCAATAATTAATGGACCAAAATTAAAATTTTCTCTAATTAAAATTAGACCTTTAAGTTTGGTTTGTTGTTATTGTTAATATTAGTAATACTTAATTAATCATTTGAATTTGAATTTCAAAAGGCATTCAAAAGATACCAACATTTCCAAAATTAAATTCTTAAAACCCTAGAGTTTATTAACTATAATATGAGTGATGTGTGCTACATTCCCACCTAAGGCTATACTTATCCATGCAAGTGTATCTCACTTTCAAAAGTAGGTCCTACGTCCACACTATTAGTGTAGCTATTATTTCCATATTATTATTTGTATAGTATATGATTGTGTTTGTGTAGTAATAGACAGTCTACAGTAGTTATACTTAGATGCTATTACTCAGGCATAGGATAGTCTTTGTTATAGGATATATCTCTGTATTTTCCTATTATTCAGTTTTAATGATCGATTCACCTTATATATCTAATCTGGTATCATACGGGTTTCGATTCTCTCTCTACCTCCACCGCACAATCTTACCCTCTCTCACCCAGGGCCGTGTCCCTGGGTAAGTCTGCCCAGGGCCGGCGCACAATTTGGGGGCCCCTTATTTTTTTTTAAAAAAAAAATTATATTATATATATAGCAGCGAATAGCGATTCAACGTGCGAACTTTGCGAAGCCGACTAACCTATTCCCTAAGTCCTTAATGTAGCGTTCGAATTACGACGGAGTGGACGGACAGAGGAGAATCACGATTCACGAGATATTTCTACAACAAATTGTCTAGGTATTTGTTTATTACTTTTGCAGAGTCAATATATATCCAATCTTTTGAGTAGATGACGTGTGTGAAAGAGGTTGCTACAGCTCTCTGAGTATCTGTTCATCCTCCACTTTTAATTTGAGTTTATTATTTATAATTTCAGTATTTGAGTAGTGCCATTTTTGAGTTACTAATTGATTATGCAAAATTGCAAATTAAATTTGTCAATTTGGGAATTCTCAATTCACTAAATAAGTTTTTAAAGACGATAATTTGCAGGCATCATATAATTTAGTTTTATTCTTTGTCCATGTAGTACAATTTAATGAATTGACGCAAAGACGAGATTCAACTCGTGTGCTACTGATTCTTCAATTCTTTTTTTATCATATAAACTCTAAAGTTCTTCAATTCTCTTGACAAGTAATTAAAATTACGTATTGTTTTACAATTTTTGTTTATTGTGTTATTTACATGACTTAATAATTCTGATTTCAGAATAATATATTCAAGAATTTGTTTCTTGATTGATTATTTATTCATAGAGTTTCTAAATAAATTTTTATTTTTCCTTAGGATTTTATGTCTTCTAGAAAATATTCATCTGGGTTTGAGAAGCGTAAAAAGAAAATAAGAATTGAGAAACTAACTCAATCTCAAAAGGGAGTTCTTGAAAAATTTATTACAAAAAAAAAAAAAAAAAAAAAAAAAACACTCAAATAGAGGAACAAAAAGATGATGCCAAGGAAAAATTGTTAGATGCTAATCTTCATATAGAAGATCAAGATGATTGTGAGATTGGAAAAAATCTAAAATCTAAATGATATTGTGCACAACGATGATGAGTATCACTGTGACAATGAAAATAATAAGAATGTTGGTAGTTGTTTAGATGATGTTGGTCACAGTGATAAACTAAAGGGTTCGCTTTTATTTGATTTTGATTCTAAATTAATAGATATTCTTGTGAAAAATGATCCTAAAAGAGATTTATCAATAAATAAAGGTCCCAAAGATAAATTATCTAGATAAATTTCATCAGCATTTTACACAAGATATATGTCAATTTTGGCTAAAATACCCTCATTATTTCAACTATTAAAATTTTTCGGTGAAATTTGACCGGAGTGACCAAAATTGACAAAAATTACATACTCAAGGTACTAAATTGACACTTTTAAAAGTTAGGTGTTGAAATTGATGAAGCCCCTATAGTCATATGATCAAAATTGAAATTTTCTCTATAACTAATATAAAAATTACTTGAAAAAAGGGGCCCACGTTTTAATATTGCATAGGACCCCAATTTTGATTGGAACGGCCCTGCTCTCACCCCTCACTCTCCGGCCATGTCGCAGAACTCCTCCGAGCACACTATCTCAGCAGCCGGCTCCCCTACGCCGGCCGGCAGTGGCTCTCTTGCCGGAGCACATCATTACATATCGATGAAGCTGACATCCAGAAACTTTCTTTTCTGGCGAACACAGCTGATTCCCTTCCTCCGGGGACAAGAACTCCTCGGCTATGTAGACGGAAGCTGCCCGTGTCCTCCGGCCTTCATTCCCGCTGCCACAACCTCCGAGGGATCCTCCGGTGCAGTGGCAACCGTGTCCGCTCCGAATCCGGCGTACCACGCCTGGGTGAAGCAGGACCAATCAATTCTGTCGTTATTAGTATCCTCCATGTCTGATGAGGTACTGCACCTGGTGTTCGGCCGGAATACTGCAGCCGAGGTGTGGACTTCCATCACCAATGCACTAGGGTCCTCTAGTCAAGCCAGGTGTTTAAATCTGTTGGGGCAGATACAGATGTTACGCCAAGGGAACTCCACCACCGCTGACTACCTGGGAAGGGCGGGGGTTCTCGTCGAGTCACTGGTTTAGGCCGGCCGGCCGCTTTCCCTCATGGAGCAGAACCTCTACGTTTTTCGTGGACTCCAGCCGGAGCTCAAATTGCTGGCGGCATCCCTCACTGCGTCCGGGAATGCGGTGACACTTTCTCACCTTTCAGATTTTTTGCAGGCCCACGAGTTCATCCTCGTGGATGATTACCCGACGACAGATGGAACGGCGTCGCACACTGCCCTGTACACCACTCCGGGCCGTGGCCAGAACCGTGGAGGCGGACGACAGGGGCAGGCGTCTCCTGGTCGCGGCAGGCAGTCGGGTGCCGGCCGTGGCGGGTAGAACCGGGGCGGAGGTCGTGGCGGACGAGGGGCTCTGCGGTGTCAGATATGCCAGTCACACGGCCACACCGCGGTATACTGCTATAAAAGATACACGACTCAACCGCCTTCGGCACAGGTTCATGTAGCACTTTCCGGCGAACCACCGGCGGCGGCGTCACCGCCGAGCGACGGTTGGTATCCGGATACCGGAGCCACCGCGCATGCTACTCCGGATGCAGAGATGATAGCGCAATCTGATGAATATGGCGGACCTGATGTTCTTCGGGTTGGAAATGGCGCAGGTTTGGCAATCTCGCGAGTCGGTCATGCATCAATCCCATCCGCGTCAAAAGCCTTAAAATTAACCAATATTTTACATGTCCCAAATTTATCTGTACCTCTTTTATCAGTACATAAATTTACTACTGATAATAACGTTTTTTTTTTTAATTTCACAATTCTTGTTTTTTTTTTTTTGTGAAGGATTCAACAACCAAAGCGGTTCTGCTTAGGGATCCCACCACAGGTGGTCTGTACAAGCTCCCGCTGTCTCGGTCAGGTTTCGAATTTATAACTTCCCGTGCCAATCCCACTGTTTGGCACTGCAGGCTCGGTCATCCACATAAACTTGTTCAAAATAAAGTTCTCAAAATTTGCCCGGTCATCGGAAATAAAACTGAACAAGTTGAGTCATGCGCCCCGTGTCACCTTGGCAAATCATCGCGTTTCAAATTAGACAATGTCACTCGTAGTAGCGAAAATGTATTAGATTTGATTTGCACGGACATTTGGGGTCCGTCGCCTGTAATATCAACTAGTGATTTTCGTTACTTTTAATTATTTGTAGATGATTTTTCCAGATTTTGCTGGTTTTATCCGTTACGGGTAAAATCAGACATATATAAAGCCTTCGAGTCGTTTCGTGTGTTGGTAGAGCGCCAATTTGCGCGTTTTATCAAGTCCATTCAATCGGATTTAGGGGGTGAGTACAGAAAATTACACACAACTTTTCAAAAATTGGGCATAAACCACCGTCAATCATGTGTCTACACACATGAACAAAACGGGAGGGTAGAACGTCGGAATAGACACATCGTCGAAACCGGCCTCGCCCTTCTCGCCCAAGGCAATGTACCTCATCAATACTGGGACTTTGCGTTTGAAACTGCAACCTGTTTAATCAATTTCCTACCCTCCTCAGCCATACAATTTGAAAGTCCATATACTCGTCTCTTTAAAAATTCTCCCCCATATACGTTCCTTCGTGTCTTCGGGTGCCGGTGTTATCCATATCTTCGCTCGTATAATCGGCACAAGATTGAATACTGCTCGGCACCATGTGTATTCTTAGGTTACCCTGTTTCCTTTAGGGGATACAGATGCCTTGACATGACAAACGGGAAAACCTACATCTGTCGTCATGTCCGATTTGACGAGTCTGTTTTTCCTTTTTCTACAGATTCTACACACAAGGGCGCTATACCGCCACAACTACCATGGGCCGTAGCACCTCTTGTAGCTCACGCTCCGCCAGAAGGGCCCACACCGAGCCCAATATCAAGCCCAAACTCAGATGGGCCTACACCGAGTTCGGATGAACCCGTGCCACTGGCACACGAATCACCGCGGCATGCGATTACTAATACTGCACCGGTGAGAACTCGCAGGGCCCGAGCCCAACCGCAAATCAGGGACCACGTCATGCGTCTCCATCACATGACTCGGGGAACAGATGAGCCTTTTCAGGCCCTCAATGTGTCTACAGATCCCACGTGTTACTCACAAGCAGTGGGACACCCACACTGGCGTGAAGCCATGGACCAGGAGTTTAATGCTTTACTCCACAATAACACCTGGCGACTTGTACCGCCCGAACCCCACATGAATATAATTGGCTGTAAGTGGGTGTTTCGTACAAAACGAACCGCTGATGGTTCGATCGAGCGGCACAAGGCACGCCTTGTTGCCAAAGGGTTCAATCAAGTCGCAGGAGAAGACTTCTTTGACACTTTCAGCCCTGTGGTCAAACCGACCACAGTCCGTATGTTTCTTTCTCTAGCTGTCTCAAACGGTTGGACTCTACGCCAGTTAGACGTTCATAATGCGTTTCTGAACGGTCATCTAGCAGAGACCGTTTACATGAAACAACCACCGGGTTATGAAGACCCAGCAAACCCAGGACATGTCTGCCACTTTCAAAGGTCGCTTTATGGTCTGAAACAGGCCCCCCGGGCATGGTTTAAACGACTTCATGATTTCTTGTTATCTGCAGGGTTCAACTCATCCAAGACAGATGTTTCTCTCTTTTACTATACTGCAGGAGAGTCTCGTGTGTTCTTATTGATTTATGTTGATGACATTATAATTATGGGCAACAATTCACAGCTTGTAAACACACTCCTGCAACGCCTGTCCTCAACTTTCAAAATCCGTGATCTTCGCTCACCAAGCTTCTTTTTGGGAATTGAAACAATCACTGCAGGCACGGGTCTAATTCTCTCACAGCGCCGTTATATGAAAGACCTACTGGGCGGTCTGGGATGCTAGACTGTAAGCCTCTTGCCACCCCAGCTGCGATTACAAAGGCGGTGACACCCTCAGAACAACTGTTTGAAAACCCAACGCAGTATCGGCGTATTGTAGGGGCGTTACAGTATTTGACCATCACTAGGCCTGACTTGTCTTATGCTATCAATCGCCTGTGTCAGTTCATGCACTCACCGACGATTGATCACTAGGCCCTGGTCAAACGTGTCCTACGCTACATCAAGGGGACACTTGACTATGGGCTACGGCTTACACCATCTTCATTGACTACCATTCATGCCTTCTCCGACTCTGACTGGGCTGGGTGTCCGCTAGACAGGAAGAGTACGAGTGGCTTTGCAGTTTATTTGGGTTCGAATCTTGTGTCTTGGTTGTCTAAGAAGCAGCGGACGGTAGCTAGATCATCCACAGAGGCAGAGTACAAGGCCCTTGCCGATGTATCCGCTGAGGTAACCTGGGTTGTTTCGTTGTTACGGGAACTGGGTCTCCATTCAGGGCATCTCGCGACGCTATGGTGTGACAATCTGGGAGCGACATATCTGTGTGCTAATCCGGTCTTTCATGCCAGGACGAAACACGTTGAGATTGACTATCACTTTGTACGTGATAAAGTTGCTTCCGAGGACTTCGTCGTCAATTATGTTTCTACTACGGATCAGCAAGCTGACATCTTCACGAAGCCTTTACCTGGGCCGCGCTTCGCTGCTCTACGTGGCAAGCTCAATGTGGAGGCTCTCCAGCCTTGTGTTTGAGGGGGTGTATTAGTGTAGCTATTATTTCCATATTATTATTTGTATAGTATATGATTGTGTTTGTGTGGTAATAGACTAGTCTACAGTAGTTATACTTAGATGCTATTACTCAGGCATAGGATAGTCTTTGTTATAGGATATATCTCTGTATTTTCCTATTATTCAGTTTTAATGATCGATTCACATTCTCTAATCCACACCATCAAATTTAAAATTGTTGGAAAAAATATCATAAATTGACATAAAATGACATTTTAAGTAGCTATTTTGTGGTACAAATATCAGTGGGGTCCACTTCCGGTTTGGGTCAGTTCAAAGTGGATTCGGGTTCTTCGTGGTGAGACGAAGAGATTGATATATTGTACGCTCAAAATGGATAATAGGTGAATGAGATATTGATTCTCAAAGTAGACCCATTTGAGTTGGAAAAATGATGGGAAAAAGCTTGGGAGTAGTCTTTTGTCCCACATTGTTTGGAAAGTGGATTTGCACCACTATTTATACAAGAGCTCTTTTAGACTTATTGAATTGTATAGTATAGAGGTTGTCTTTCACGTGCGCCTCAACTCATGTTCACGGGCACGAGCGTTGTTCGAAAAGTGTTATGCCAACCTTCGGTATGTTCCACGCTGCAGTTCACGGAATTAATTTCAGATTAATTCCAATTTTGAATTGAGCGAGTAGGCTGAATGGCTATGCCATTATTTCGAGAATGTTTCTGGTGGTAAACTCGTACCTGCAATTTGTGTGCATTGCGATAGTCAAGCCAAAATTGGTTAAGTACAGAGTTAAATGTGGAATGGTAAGTCTAGACTTATAAGTCGTAGATATAATACCATTAAACAATTTCTCACAACGGGGGTTATCTCTATTGACTACGTGATGTCAAAAGATAACGTAGCGGCCGCTAACTCGCTAACCCGAGGGTAAGCAATTAGTTGTGGAGAAGTTGGAACGAGGAATGGGTCTAAAGCCCTTGGACTAAAAGTTCTATAGTGGACACCCAACCTAGCTGGTACCTAGGTTCAATGGGACAACTAAATTATGGAACGGAGCGTGTCATTGTGGGGGTCTCGACTCCCTACCACTCCTCGTTAGAAACAGTGGCTCCCGCGCAAGGTTAGCATGTTGATGCTTTAATTATTCGAATGTCGGTTGACATGTGTGAGTATGCGGGATACTCGGAAAAGAATCACCTATGTGAGAGAGAAGTGAGGTTCGCTTCAAAGGAGAATTGATGGGCACAATTCTTCACAAACTCTTGCAGAACCAGGACGGTGACCCACGACCAAAATGGGCACACTCATGAGAACAGAGCATGGTTGGGAGGTTCCTGTGTGAGATATGTCATCGTCTACACAAACGGCAGTCGGTTCAAAGACATCGCGTTCTACCGTACACCCAGTAGAGTAAACATGTCTTCACAAGGGAAGGTTAAAAGGGTATAGTGATCCCTACTTATCCTATGCAGGGATCGACCGTTGAACACAGTTTGTTTCCGATTTCAAAATACCCTGAAAATCAATTTTCATTCATGTGGGGGATTGTTGGAAAAAATAGCTTAAAATGGCATATTAAGTGGCTATTTTGTGGTACAATTATCAGTGGGGTCCACTTCCGATTTGGGTCGGGTCAAAGTGGATTCGGGTTCTTCGTAGTGAGACGAAGAGATTTTGTACGCTCAAAACAAATAATGGGTGAATGAGATATTGATTCTCAAAGTAGACCCATTGAGTTGGAAAAATGAAGGGAAAAGTGAGCTTTCTCCCACATTGGTTTGGAAAGAGGATTTCACCCCCCCATTTATACAAGGGCTCTTTTGAAGCTTGTAGAATTGTATAGCATAGAGGATCTCTCGCGCGCGCGGGGGGGGGGGGGTGCAAATCAAATTCCAACTAGACGAGATTGAAAAATGCTTGATTCAAGCCCGAGCTCGTGTGCGCCGGCACCTGGGGGCACGAATGTCGTCCGGAAATTGGCTGGCCTTGCGAGCTAAGTTATGTCAATTTCTGTACAGTTTTCCAACACTATATGGCCACACCACGAGAGATCACCCGAGATCAAGTGATCTCTCGTGCGCTGTCATGAGGTTACACGAGAGTTTGACTCTCGTGTGACTTACACGAGAGTTCGAACTCTCGTGTGACTTACACGAAAGTAACTGAGCTGAAACAGCGCGGACCATTCGTTGGTTCTGGACTGTTACAGGATTAATCTTGTATTAATTCCACCTTTTGAATTTTTGAGTTAAATCTCAATAATGGTGGCTATTTCAGGTGTTACAAATCGTGGATTAAATGCTAAACTAAATGCTATTGATTCCTCACCCCCTATATAAGAAGGGGTGTAGCAGCAGTGTTTCTACACAGACTGAAAAACAACACACACAACACTGAAATTCTGTTTTCTCAGCTCCAAAATCTCTGCTCCTACTCCCTTCTTGTAGCTGTGTTCGTCCCATGCTCTAGTTCGCCGGGTTCGTTCGTTTGGGTGCTCAAACGTCGAACCGTTGTACGTTTTATCCTGGGAAGCCTAGGCCACAACGCTCCTAGCACTTTTGGGAGGTGGCAAATAAGGTTTTAAGGAAAGAAAGGCATCTCGCCTAACTCGTACATTTCTTTCTTCTTCTCCTTCTTTCTTGTTTTGGATTATGATTTTAAGCAAAAATCTGTTCTCCCTCTTTTGATATACTAGTTGGATTGGACTTATAATCCGAGGATTATTAGTTTCAATTTTGGTTAATATATATTGGTATATCTTTTTCGTAGATATACATGTATATATAACCTTTGGATCCGTTTATATATATTTGTGTGTATATATATATTTCGGGTAAATATCCAATAATATTTTATATACTTGTGTGTGTATATATAAATATTATTTTTGGGATATTAAATCGATTGTGGTTCATTATCACCAACAAAAAGCTCACTTTTTCCCTTCATTTTTCCAACTCAATGGGTCTACTTTGAGAATCAATATCTCATGCATTCACCCATTATCCGTTTTGAGCGTACAATATATCAATCTCTTCGTCTCACTACGAAGAACCCGAATCCACTTTGACCCGACCCAAATCGGAAGTGGACCCCACTGATAATTGTACCACAAAATAGCCACTTAATATGTCATTTTATGTCATTGTAAGCTATTTTTTCCAACAAGATGTTCTCTTGCTTTGTTGGTGTTTGTTCTTAAATTTTGTATATTTGTTCCCAATTTGTGTTGTGGTTGATTCCCTTTTTGGCATATATTAGTGTATTTAGGTATTTATATTGTTGTTTATAGAACACCATAGAGATAATTTTCCGGATCCGATATCAGTACTCAACTGGGAACATAGCAGTGAAGGGTTTAGCAAATTTCAAATCTCTCCCAACTCAAACGCGTCTCCGATCCGTTATCTTTTGTGCGCCAAGGTGTTTGTTTGTATGTATACATTCTTTCGCCTTTTCCATTTTCTCGCTGAAACTAGCTTCATACTGTGATTTACACAACACGATCTTTCAACTTTGAAGGATAAATGTTATATATGTGTTCATAGAGTGATTGAAATTGAATAAATTGATGTTGAAAAATTGTTTACTGGTTTTTCTTCTATGCCGTTTTGTTAGAATTTTTTACTTGTTGGCGGCTGAAAATCATAAATAAGGTGTCTTTTTATTTCCCCTTATTTGAAACTTACCTAGGATGGTTGTAGAATGGGGGTTAAAGATGGGAATATAAGATCACTATTGGTGTTATTATTAAAAAAAAAAATTGCATTTATTTATTGTAGATTCACCATCTTTAATGTACTAGCCACCTTGAGAAACAAGTGGTTTCTGTGTTGATATGTTTCTTCTTTTTCATTAACCGGCCGAGTTTCAATGTACAATATTATTTTTTGGTATTGATTTTTGAAATGCATGGGTGTACTAATCCTTTTACCTTAATCATGCTTCATGCTTTCTATAGCATAAAGCTCATAATGACTTCAGTGGGTTAGAATAGGCACTCCCTTAAATTTTACATCTTTCAAAATTAGTATGTTCATGCGTGCAGCTAAGGCTTGCAATTTATAATTACTAATTTACTATTTTCAATTTTACCATGCTAAGGTTTTGTTTCAATTTTAATTTATTTGTACATTAATTTGCATATATTAAAGTTATCTGGATTATGGGGAGAAAACGTAGAGATCTCCCCGTAGGTATAGTTGACATGATTTTGGGGTTCTTACCAATTGAACAAGTTGCTAGAAGGGATGTTTTGTCTACTTTTTGGAGAGAGATATGGTTCAGTCTTATAGAGCTCTACTTCGACTCTAGGTTTTTTTTTTTTTTTGGTTTTGTTTTTGTTTTTTTTTTATCGCATTATTAGAAAATATTTCCATGCTAGTGGTGATATCAGGACCCAAACCACACAAGAGGAAAAGAAAAACAACGATATATAGATGTCTGCAGCTTTGTGTTTAGTAACAAAGTCCTCAACCAACACAATGGACTTATTCGTACATTTATCACTGATTTTTCAGTATTTCAATAGGAATACACTTTTGTCTCAGTTGTTTGACTTGGACCAATGGTTCCTTTTTGTCACACGAAAAGGTGTTGAAGAAATCCATCTTTTCTTATGGTTAGAGATGGATATATTCTTCTGAAATACATAATTTCTTGCCTAACACTAAGGAGATTGCATCTTAATGTAGTCTCTATTAAATGAATAGATGCCCATTGCACATTACCAAATTCCACTTTACTTTGTTTTGATAATATAATGTTGACTTTGTTGGTGTTGATCTTCGGTTCCGATTGGTTTTCCTATGCTTGAGAATATCTTATTTATGAGTTGTGATCATCTGTCTAATTTGAACATTACTGCTCAAAAACTCAATAGTTTAACAATCAACTATTGCCGTTTTTATGAACTTCCTATTAACTTGGACTTGAGATATATTCGTTCTTTTGGTTTGGATAGTTATGCTCTCAAGGTATCATAACACTCTAATTTTAGCGGTGACATTTCTTCAGCATTCATTCATTTGCTTCAAATATGTCCAAAGTTATGTGAATTTGATATAAATTTATGGGAAAATTTTAATTTATGTCACACCATATTATGTTGATTATCAATGTCACTCCTGAATTATTAGTGGTGTAAATGTTGCCCCTCAATTTTCAAAATAATACATATATTGCCCCTCCTATACCGTATGGGACGAGCAATATATGTATCGTTTTGAAAATTGAGGGGCAACGTTTACACTTGGGAAGGACAATACATGTATCATTTTGAAAATTGAGGGGTAACATTTACACTAATAATAAATCAGGGATTCAGGGGTGACATTGATAATTGACATATTATGGAGGGGCATAAATTACAATTTTCCCTAAATTTATTGATAATTTTCCTATATTAATTTTTCTGTTGTTTATCTTACTATGTGAGAATATCAGTAGAATATTAGTATAACTTTGGGCATATTCGAAGCAAATGAATGAATGTTGAAGAAAAGTCACCACTAAAATTAAAGTGTTCTGATACATTGAGAGCATAACTATCCAAATCAAAAGCACGAACATATCTCCAGTCCAAGTTAATAGGGAGTTTGTAAAAACGGCAATCGTTTATTGTTAAACTATTGAGTTTTTGAACAGTAATATTCAAATTAGACAGATTATCACAACTCATAAATAAGAGATTCTCGAGCATGAGAAAATCAACCAGAATCGGAAGATCAACACCAACAAAGTCGACATTATTAAAAAAAGTGGAGTGATATTTGATAATGTGCAATGGGCATCTATTAATTTAATAGAGACTCCATTAAGATGTAATCTCGTTAGTGTTAGGGAAGAAAATATGAAATTCTGAAGACTATATTCATCTCCAATCATAAGACAAATGTGGATTTCTTCAACACGTACCTTTTCGTGTGACAAAAAGGAACCACTGGTCCAAGTCAAACAACCGCGACCAAAGTGTATTCGTATTGGATTACTGAAAATCAAAGACAAATGTGCGAATAAGTCCATTGTGCTGGTTGAGGACTTTGTTGATTACATACAAAGTTGCAGACATCCAAATATCACTGTTTTTCTTTTCATCTTTGTATATATTTCACAAAATTCCTTGTACAGTGTGTGTATAATTCAATATGCAGGTACAAAATCTCTGTCTAGTCCTCTGATTCTTCACTGACGTTATCTATTGAAGTGCCTCCGGGATTCAAATAGCGTAGCCTCCGAGATTCAATTGGCGCGTGCCTTCGGGATTCAAATGGCGTAGCTTTCGGGATTCAATTGGCGTGACTTTCAACAACGAACGTCAAGAATTTAGAAATAATCAACCCTGCAAAGTTTCAAAACACATGCAATGGATTCAAATTGCCTGCAAAATCAACAAAAATGTCTACAAGTCTTCAAGCGTTCTTCAATGCCGTTATCTATTGAAGTGCCTCCGAGATTCAAATAGCGTAGCCTCCGGGATTCAAGTGGCGCGTGCCTCCGGGATTTAAACGGCGTAGCTTCCGGGATTCAAACGGCGTGATCTTCAACAGCAAACGTCAAGCTCCGAAGCAATCAACTCTACAGAAAAGCTTCAAGTTGCTTCAAGATCTTTAAAACCTGCAAAAAATATCTTCAATGTCTTTAATTCTTCAAGATCTTCAAATGCCTTCAAAAGAGCTCTCAAATCTTCAAGCCTTCAAATTGTCAAGTGTTCTTCAATGCTTTCAAGCTCTCAAGTCTTCAAGTTGTTCTTAATGTATTTAAGGTGTGATTTGAAGAATGAAATTGAGGCTCTATTTATAGTGAAATTTGTAACTAAAATCCCTCAACAAACTCCACTAATATTTATTTAATTAAATTAATTAATTATCTACTAAAATGAACCTTGCCAAAATCAAGTCTAGGTTCATTATTTTATCATCTAATTCAAATTCAAATTAAATTATAATTATCTAATTCAAATATAATAAAATCATATTTTATTTAAATTATAATTATAATTATAATTCAATTATGAAATGGACTTGGACCAATTAATTACTTAATTCAATAGTCCAAATTAAATTTACTTGGACTAATTAAATTAATTTAATTATCATAGCCCAATTAATTAAATTGGACTAATAATCAATCCCGAAATTGGGCTCGATAATGATTTAATCGGTCCACTTGTCGGCTTCAAATTTTCTGTGTCTACAAATTGCCCCCTCGAGACTTTCTTGGACATGCCACTTGAGAGCATACACTGTTTGAAAGTATGTAGTGCATGGAAGTCTCGAAACTATAATGCCATTTCAACTCGTGCCAAGGAGCCTTGTGGGATATGAGGCAGTTTCGACTCGTGCCGGGGAGCCTTGAAGTAATATGAGGCAGTTTCAACTCGTGTCGGGGAGTCTTGAATATGATGCGTTTTCAATTCACATTGAGGAAGCTTGAAGAATATTTCCTCCATCACATATTGTGGTATAATGTGTTGAGGCATATTCTTCTCTAGCATATGGGCTGATTAGAGGAATTTTCATCTTCACTCTTTGGTTAGTTGGAGTAATATGGAACCACTTCGGCACGTAATCTGCCAATGTGACTGGAACTCGTGCTTTTATATGGTGGCTGCAAGTCCTCCCATCTATAGGGCCCTTTACCATTTTCTTCTTAACCCACCTTTTCATAGCTTGCTTAGGCGGTCGTGTTGCAGCACAAACGTGGTGTTGCTTAGCATGCTTAATAACAAGTCGAGTACCATACTCGGGTTTGGTATCATAAGACTTGATGTTAAGAGGAAATATACACTTGTGTTGTTTTCTATTTCCCTTCACATTGTTCTTCTCAATAAGTAGCGAAGTAGATTTACCGCATGAGATGGAAACTTGATTAGCGCTTGCTGTGGCATCTGCAAGTTCAATTCTCCCATCTCGAGCTAACTCCATTACTTTATCCTTAAAGACAAAGCAATTTTCAATTGGATGTCCGACAAGCCTATGAAACTTGCAATAACTCGGATGATCCACCATTGATGCCTCGTGTGGTCGCCTCATTTCTGGAAAATCAACGAGATTGTGTTTCAATAGCTCATCAAACATATGTGGGACATCAGAATCCAAGAATGGATACTTCTTGTTTTGTCTTTCCCTGAAAGAAAGCCTTCTACTACCCCGTAATGATCTAGAAGCACCCTTAGACACATTAGTAGCTTCAGTGAATATCCTAGCTGGTTGAATATTCACATGCATAGTGTCCATGCTTTCATATTTCTTAAAGGCCTTGCTGCCATTTTCAACGTCATCATGACTCTTTCCCCCATTGTAGAAGCTTTGAATGGGTATGTTTTGTCCACCAT